CTTTCTCTCAGTCTGTCCCACCACACTCACTGTAGACCTCCTCGAGAAGGCCCTCCTCGCGATAGAAAAGAGCATAGTCGCTGTAGGAGCCTCTCGAGGTGACCCGCGCACCCCCATCTTTGAGGGGTGTTCTCCCTCCCCCCTGCTGCCCTCTGTTGCCTCTGCTGCTTCGGCCGACCTCCTTGGTCTTGAGTCGGTCGGTGCGGCGTCTGCCCCTAGCGGGAGACGCCGCCCTGGCAAGGGCAAGGGGGGCAAGGGAGCTGGAGGAGCGGGCGGTGGAGGTGGAGGTGGAGGCAGTGGGGGGAGTGGGGGTAGCGGTGGAGGTGGAGGTGGGGGTGGGGGGTTCGGTGGCGGCAGTGGAGGCGGAGGCCGCGGCGGCGGTGGCGGTGGTAGCGGAGGTGGTGGAGGAGGCGGCGGCGGAGGAGGCGGTGGAGGCGGCGGCGGCAGTGGAGGCAGCGGAGGCGGTGGAGGCGGTGGGGGTGGCGGTGGAGCTGGTCGCGGGTCTTTGCAGAGGAGTGGCTCCGGTGGTGGCTCGCGCCAGCAGCAGCAGCGTGGTCGTGCGACCCTGTCCCCTCAGCAGCTCCGTGAGTGGTACACTGCACGCCAGCGGGGTGGGGGTTTTGGTCCGTGTACCTACGTCCTGCGCACCGGCGACCGTGCGGGTGAGCAGTGTGGGGGTGCGCACCCCACTCCGCGCTGCTTTGGCCGCCTGACGGACGCATGGCGTCACCAGTTCCCGGAGGCCTTCGAGATCCCTCGCTGGGACGAGCTGTCTTGGGCGGGAGTTGCCATCTTTGATCTGGACTTTGATGCTATTCTCTCTGCCATGTATGCTGTGTCTATTAGTGATGAGGGTGACTGTTACCGGTGTTTCCAGCCCGATCCGGGCATTGAGACTGCTGCTCTAGGTACTGGTGAGGCTGCTGCCCTAGGTGCTTACGACGCTGCTGCTCTAGGTGCTGGTGTGTCTGCGTCCTCAGGTACTGGTGAGTCTGCTCTCTCAGGTACCGCGTCGGCTTCGGCCTCCCTCACCTTCACTCTTGACTCTGGGGCGTCTCGCTCCTTCTTTCGGGACCGCACCACACTCACGCCGCTTAGTCGGCCGGTTGCGGTGTCTCTCGCTGACCCCTCTGGGGGTCCGGTCCTGTCTCGTTTCTCCACAGTCCTCCCGTGTCCGGCGGCTCCCTCTGGCACCCTGTCTGGTCTCTACCTCCCCTCGTTCTCGACGAACCTGGTGAGTGGTGCTGACCTACAGGATGCGGGTGTCCACCAGTTCACTCCTGCACGTCAGCGAGTGACCCACTGTACAGAGGCTGGCACAGGCCGACACCTGGCTACGTTCACCCGTCAGCCGGGGTCGAGCCTGTACACTCTGACCACTGCGTCTCCTCCAGTTGCTGAGTCTGGTAGGGTAGTTACGTCGGGTCAGGTGTTTGCTGCGGCGTCCAGGTCTGGTCCTGAGTCTGCCCCCTGTTCGTGTCGTCTCCTGTCTCACGAGACTCTCCTCTGGCACCACCGCCTTGGCCACCCCTCTCTCCTTCGGCTCAGAGGTATGGCCTCCCGTCTTCTTGTGTCCGGTCTCCCCCGGTCCCTCCCTCCCCTTCCTCAGGGCCCTGGCCCTGCCTGTGTCCCCTGTGTCGAGGGGCGCCAGCGTGCTGCCCCTCACTCCTCCCAGTTTCCTTCGACAGAGGCCCCGTTGTAGACACTTCACATGGACGTGTGGGGCCCAGCCCGCGTCCGTGGACAGGGTCACGAGCGCTACTTCCTGCTCGTTGTTGACGACTACTCGCGTTACACCACAGTCTTCCCCTTGCGCAGCAAGGGTGATGTCACTGAGGTGCTGATCGACTGGATCCGCGCAGCTCGTCTCCAGCTCAGGCAGAGCTTCGGCTCGGACTTTCCTGTTCTGCGTCTGCACTCGGACAGAGGCGGAGAGTTCTCCTCTGGCCTTCTGCGTGCCTACTGTCGTGCACGGGGCATCCGTCAGACCTTCACGCTTCCGGACTCACCGCAGCAAAATGGGATTGCTGAGCGCCGCATTGGCATGGTCATGGACGTCGCTCGTACGTCTATGATGCATGCGGCTGCCCCCCATTTTCTGTGGCCGTTTGCGGTGAGGTACGCGGCGCATCAGATCAACCTCCACCCCAGGGTCTCCAGGCCGGAGACCTCCCCAGCCTTGCTGTGGACGGGGAAGGTTGGCGATGCGTCGGCGTTCCGGGTCTGGGGATCTCGGGCGTTTGTCCGCGACCTGTCTGCGGACAAACTATCCCCTCGTGCTGCTCCTTGCGTCTTCCTGGGGTTCCCCCCTGACGCGCCTGGGTGGCAGTTTTACCACCCCACCTCTCGCCGTGTTCTATCCTCCCAGGACGTCACGTTTGACGAGTCGGTCCCCTACTACCGCCTCTTCCCCTACCGCACTCCGTCCCTCCCCCCACCCCCACTCTTCCTGGTACCAGGTCCCCCCCAGGTAGACCCCCTCCCCCCTCAGGGTCCTGCCCCTTCAGGTGTGTCCCAGGTAGACGCAGTCGAGCCTGTCGAGGTCACTGGTGACTCTGGTGCTGCTGAGGGTGCTGAGGCTGGGGGTGCTGTACCTGGGGGTGCGGAGCCTAGGGGTGCTGGGCCTGGGGGTGCTACGTCTGGGGGTGCTGAGCCTAGGGGTGCTGAGCCTAGGGGTGGACAGTTGCGGCTTGCGTACGTGGCCTCTGAGGCCAACACTGCTGATGTCTTCACCAAGGCACTTTCGCCTTGTGATCATCAGCGCTTCTGCACTCAGCTGGGTCTTGTGCCCGTCTTGCCTCACTTGCTCTCCTCTTGACCTTGCTTGTACTCTCACATATATATATACCTGCTCTTGCTTGTCTAGCTTTATATATATGTGTGTACTTTTGCATGTGAACTGGCCGTGTGGCCTTGACCCTGTGCTCGGACTGTGTGGTGACTTTGTGATCCACCCTGAGCTTGCTTTGCTTTGCTTTGCTTGACTGGTCTTGTGACCCCTTGTTCTCCCCCACTTTGCCTATGGGGGTGTGTCAGAACATTGTAGCTTATGCTGTTGTGTAGGCTATAGTGGGGTATCCCATAGGGGGTACAACTAATTAGGGTTTCATATTTGTACTCACTTCATTTCATAGTTCATCCATTCTCGTTCTCATTTTCACAGCAAGTTCTGCACACGAAGATTGCCAAACCTGGTAGACATGAGAATGCACGTGAGAGAACTTTGTTTGCGCGAGTTGCACAATTATATCTTGTCGTCTTCGTGTGAACTCAAAAGTTACTGTGTCTGCGCGAGAAAATGTTTGTCGTGGGCAAGTACATTTCTCGTCACCGAATTCTGTACGCCTCTGACGAACACGAAAATATTTGCGTCCGCGCGAGATCGTTTTTGTTGTGGGAAAGTACGTGTAGGGTTTTTAGTCGTGCGACTGATCACGCTTCAGACGATGTGTAGGTATGCACACGATGTGCATAGGTTTCCAGACCCAATAGACCCTATGCTTAACAGAAGATGTTTACAGAAAACAGAATGCGCAAAGGCAAACTCACCCCGTGCACAAGATTTTTCGAGCACAATGGATCCCGTGCTTAACATATTGTTTTTCCAGACCCAATGTAGCACACCTACACACAATTCGCACAGGGTTAAAAGTCCCTGCAAACCGTTGCGCGTGTAAAAAAGACGTGCACACGGCTATTTTCTTTTTTCTTTTTACGTGCGTGAACGCTTTCGATGGTAGGGGGTGTTGGGTCCGCGCAACGTCAGTGTAGCTTGCTGACGGGGAACCATTTCGTGTGGGGAAGGAACGGCCAAACTTGTGCATCTCGATTTGAGGTGCACGTGGCAGCAGGGCAGAGGTCGTGGTGATCACCTCGTGCATGAATCCACGTCCAGCTAACGCCTTGCTCACGCCTAACGAGTGACGACGTTGACGAAGCCAACGACACGCGTCGCACGCCCCTCGCAGGACGATCTGTTTCGTTCAGGTGAGTCGCACACTCGTCGCAACGTTCGCACGGCATGATTTTGGCAGGGTTTGTTTTTGTGACCTGAAATTTCGCTTTCGCACATGTTTTCGCGAGCTGGTTCTCCTGGAAATTTGCCTTCGCAGAGGCAGGTTTGTTTCCGTGTCGCCGATGAGGAACATGCACGAGGGGTGCGGAGTTCAGGTGGGACGGGGAACTGGCGCGCGTCGCGAGGGTCCCGACAAGGCCCAGCTGGCGGGGTTTCAGTTCCGCCGACCTGGCGCTGGGAGAGCGACGGGAGCGTCGTTCCCACGGGCAAAACGGGAGCGACGCCCAACAATCCGATGAGACACACAGTAAAGTGAGCTCCTTCAAGCTCATGCATGGTTTGGTCTGGAGTGTACTGGTAGATTTCCGAACACCATATCGAACTTTGAAGCCCACACCACAACGCGGACATTGTTCGGGCGGGTTCACACTCACCCACAACACCCGATTTTCTAGAGCCTGCTACCGCACCCGAACTTCTGACGAGCTGGTCTGCGATGTACCTGTAACCAGATTGTAGCAGTTACGCCGCCTTCAAGGTGGGGCATGCATCTGCGGACGGACTGGGGACTTTCGGCTCATTATGGAACTATCTTGCGTGTGCGAAGATCAACGACTAGAAACTTGTTGGCGAAATATAGTGTTTAGGGATGGCGGGAGAGGAAAGAGCAAATCTGAATGCGCCGCTGCATGGAGCATGATTCCGAGACACCATCGCTGAACGTGATTGAGCGCGTTTCTTACATGTGTCACTGCCATACTGGAAGATAACATCCACCCTCTTTCTACTTCTCTCCTTCCTCCCCGCGCGTTTCGCAGTCGCCACGATCGCGCTGCCTGTCTCGGTTCTATCGCCCCGACCGTCACTCATGCTCGAAAGCAGCACTCTCTAATACGAACGTATACACAAGCTAGTCAGTGTAATCGCGAAGGTGAGTGAAGCTACCTCGCCATCTAGTCTACGTTTGCGTCCTTCGAGAAATCAAATGCATATCGTCCCCTTTACTCAGGCCCGTCGCCCCTTCCCGAGCACCACGATTCACGAAACAGATCGACCTGTCCGCCGCACCTCGCTGCCTGACCTGTCGCGGGGCCGTGTGTTCCGTGTGGATTCGTACGGCACCGCCATCTCACCCCACCCTTTCTCGCCCGTGCGCGCGGTGCAGCGTGCGGTGCGGTGCGGGAGGCGGTGCCACGGGCGGCCATGAATTCGGTGAGTCGCCTCGCCGCGGCCTGCGGTGTCGAATCGCGTTCTTGTTTTTCTCGTTCACTCGTTTGCGCTGCTCCAGCTGTCTACCCGTCTCGCTTAAACGTTTACTCTGGCTCACGTATGGCTGAAATTATTTTGCTTGATTGGCGGTGCCACGTGTGCGTCCATGAGTGGCTGCGTGGCAGATTCTCGTGGACCGCGAGGACGCGCAGCGGCAGTACCTGGAGCAGCGGGTGAGATGCGCGCAGAGGTTGGGGGAAAAGTGAAATGGAGGGTTGGGGGAGAAAAGTGTTGGGTTAAACAGCCTATCCGTGCTTCTCCATCACTGCTTCTGCTCCGTGCTCCGCTTCTCCTCGCGCACAACCCCATGCACTCACATCATCCCATGCACTCACATCACCCCATGCACTTACATCACCCCATGCACTTACATCACCCCATGCACTTACATCACCCCATGCACTTACTTACATCACCCCATGCACTCACATCACCCCATGCACTTACATCACCCCATGCACTTACTTACATCACCCCATGCACTTACTTACATCACCCCATGCACTTACTTACATCACCCCATGCACTTACTTACATCACCCCATGCACTTACTTACATCACCCCATGCACTTACTTACATCACCCCATGCACTTACTTACATCACCGCATGCACTTACTTACATCACCCCATGCACTTACTTACATCACCCCATGCACTGACTTACATCACCCCATGCACTTACTTACATCACCCCATGCACTTACTTACATCACCCCATGCACTTACTTACATCACCCCATGCACTTACTTACATCACCCCATGCACTTACTTACATCACCCCATGCACTTACTTACATCACCCCATCCACTTACTTACATCACCCCATGCACTTACTTACATCACCCCATGCACTTACTTACATCACCCCATGCACTTACTTACATCACCCCATGCCTCCGCTTCTTCCCGTCCGCTCTCATGCCACCACCGCATAGCTTTTCTCCCCTCTCCACTCCACTCTCTTTCTCCTCCCTCCCTTTCTCCCCAGCCCCCTTCCCGCATGTGTTATGAGGGTGCGGTGGGCAGTGCTGCACATACAGGGGCACGTCTGTACAAGTCTCAAAGCTGTCTCCTTCCTCCCTGCCGCCCCTCCCCGTGCGTCCACCCCCGTTGCTGCCACCGGTGCGCGTGGGCGCGGAAGCAGGTGGTGCAGGCGGCGGTGGCGGAGGTGTACAGCGAGGAGAGCGCGGAGGGCGGCCATGCCACGCACGCGCACAACGCGGTGAGGGATGAGAGGAAGAGGGCAGACCGTGGTGAGTGGGGGAGAGAATTCGCTAGAGGTGGGGACGAGTGAGGGTACATATGGGATAGGGCGTGGTTATTGGTGCCTGGGGGGACGCGCTCGAAGTTGGCAGCGGAAATGATTTCATTTCTCGGTTCCCGATGCGCTGTGTCCCTTGATCCACTGCACCGACTTTCTTACAGTACGTTCCCCTTCATTCCCCTCCTCTGCGCTGCCCCTCCCTCCCCCCTCCAGATACTGGCATACCTGAGCAGCACGCTCGACCCGTTGCTCGCCGTGCCACCCGCCTCGCCCACCACGCCCCTCGCTGCACCCGCGCACGGCGCCCCCTCACACCCACTCTCGCACGCACAGCCAGCAGGGCTGGCAGGGCGGTTGGAGCAATCGCGGCAGCAGCTGCTGGGAGTGGAGCCGGGGTGCCTGCAGAGTGGCGCTGCCAGGGCTGCTGCGGTGAGTCACATGCCATGGCGGTGGGCACGCAGTGCGTGGTAGAGCAGGTCAGCCTGACAGGGCCGCGTTCTCAGGTGTGCCTGGCAGGGCCGCGTTCTCAGGTGTGCCTGGCAGGGCCGCGTTCTCAGGTGTGCCTGGCAGGGCCGCGTTCTCAGGTGTGCCTGGCAGGGCCGTGGGGGTGCCGAGAGGGCCGTGGCGCTACAGCTGTGGTGAAGGTGAAGAGTTTCAGGCGGGGCGTGTAGTGAATCAGGGGCGGGGTGCAACGGATGTAGCGTGTGGTGTGCACCACTCGAGGCCACTCTGCCATCATCACATGCTGCTGCTGTGTGCTCGTGTGCTACGGCACTGTGCGGCACTCAGCAGGGGTGCCTTGTGTGTGTTGCTGCGTGGCAGAACAAGGCATGCCAGGTCAGGCTGCAGCAGCGGGTCATCGATGCAGTGGCGTCCTCTGCAGCCAACATCAAGACCTTCATTCACTGTGCGCTGTGACTGTACATCAATGTGCTGTGTTGATTGTGATGTGACTGTATCAAGTGTGATGTAACTGTGTTGAGTTGAGTGTGTTGTGATTTTATTTGGTGAGTATACGAGTGCGACAGGCATCAACGTGCACCACCTACCTACAGCCTCACTTGTGGTTCAATACCTGGTCTGGACATTCCAGTGGAACAGCGTCTGAAATGGGAATATATGTTGCGCGCAACAAGCATCATGTGAGCCCTAACCCTGTCAACACATGCATCACAACCAACCCACTGCCCTGATTGCGTCTCTCTGGCCTCTGCGTGCATCCTCGCCTCCTCCCCTCTGCCTCCGTGTGCCCTCTGCCGCCCTGCAGTGAGCCTCGGGGACGATGCCTCCAACACTGACGCTGACGCTGTTACGCGGTGAGCTGTCATACGGGGATAAAAGTGGTCATGGGGGCAGTCGCTTGCTACTTGGCCTGCTTCTATTGAAAGAATTTTGTTGTAATTCCTTAATATGCACTGATGAAGGCTTTGATGATTTGAACTCGGCAGGCCGGAACTTGAATGATCTGGTACAATGCTCCTTCAGTTGACCCCTCTTTTAGCCTTGTTAATGTTATGTTTTTACCACAAGAATGTTTACATGTCTGTTGCTTGAAGCTGCTTCAAGCGTTTTCCAAGGTCCAGCTTTGCGAGTGAAGAACCATGTTCCTGCCTGCCTGCCTGCCTGCCTGCCTGCCTGCCTGCCTGCCTGCATGTGGCAGAGTGCGGGAGGAGGTGCGGGGGGTACGGGAGAGGGAGGCTGCCATCACGCGCGTGCTGCTCGCCACAGCCAACACTCGAGCTACCCTGGCGCAGGTGGGCAAGGAAGGAGCATGCAGCGTGGCCCTCTCAGCTACGGCTTATGGCCCTCTCAGCTACGGCTTATGGCCCTCTCAGCTACGGCTTATGGCCCTCTCAGCTACGGCTTATGGCCCTCTCAGCTACGGCTTATGGCCCTCTCAGCTACGGCTTATGGCCCTCTCAGCTACGGCTTATGGCCCTCTCAGCTACGGCTTATGGCCCTCCATGATTACCTTCTTCTTTCCCTTAACCGTTTCTCTCTGCCTGCCATCCTCCTTCCGTATCTGTTCCCCCACGGTCTCGTCTTTCTGCTTGCCGCTTAGGAGCACGTGAGGGTGACAAAGGACCTTCTTGCTGTGCTGCACCTCAAGACACTCCAGCAGCACCCGCTGGTAACCACTGCTTCTTGCTCACTGCAACCACAGCACACTGCACCGAACCCTCTGGTACCAGTTAACTGCTGTGGCTGGGGTAGCAGCACCCACTGAAGTCACCCCTATGCATCTCACTGCAACACACTGGTAACGAGTCTGTTCCAATGCTTTTGAAACTTGCACATGCACGTGCTTGCACGGATGCAGTTAGGCAGTTGTACAAAGTAGAAGAGCAAGCAGCACTCCCTTGCCTTTCCCCTTTAACTTGGAAATCCAACCCCACCTTCCGACATGCCGCATGCCTCCTGCCTGCACCAGCCGCCCATTTGCTGGCCAGTGGGCCTTTTAGGGTGTGCCGCCTGTCCTGCCCAACCTCCCAGTCCCTGCCACCCCTCCCCCCACACACGTTCTTCGTCCCGCCTGGGTGGTGCACGGTGCATGGCAGGATGGGAGGCGCTGTAAGCTGCTGGAGGCAAGCGCTGCGCTGCTGCAGTGCAAGGAAGAGTGAGCATAAGGGGTGTGTGAGAAGGGGAGAGTGGAGGGGAGGGAGAGTAAGAGGGAGGGGTTAAGAGGTGAAATTATCTTAAGCATTCAGAAGATCCGGGTTCAAATATCAATCTAGAGAAGGTTGGGAGAGAACCCTAATCCACCAAGTCAAGCAGGCATGGAAGCAGGACCAGCCTGGTGGGCGAGTTGTGTGTGTTGACCATACGAGGTGGTTGGGCCAACATAGCATTCTTGACAACCCCTACATATGGTCATGATGGTGTGACATGTGGCCTTGCCATGCCACGCCACCCTCTTTCACACTTGCGTTTTCCCCATGCCTGGTCTCCCATGTTGCCTGCGGCGCGGTGCAGAGCGGTGGAGCAGCAGATCCGAGCGGCCACGTACACGAGAGACACCGTGCTGGCGTTGCAGCACATGAGGTGAGCCCACTGCAGCACATGAGGTGAGCCCACTCGCTCCTCTGATTGCCATCCACCATCCACGCTGCCATGCACCATCCGCACTGCCATGCACCATCCGCACTGCCATGCACCATCCGCACTGCCATGCACCATCCGCACTGCCATGCACCATCCGCACTGCCATGCACCATCCGCAGTACCAAATCCCCGTTCTTCCTCCGATGTCAATCGTTTCATCTGGCCATGCATGATGTTCTCTCTGCTCCCCCAGGAGCCATCTGTTGGCGCGCAAGGCTGAAGTCAGCATGGCGCGAGACCAAGCAGTGAGTGCTACTTCGCTGCTCTTCTGCCCTGCTACACCCCACACACCTGCATTGCCTCTCATGTTACGTCACTGCAACGCACTCGCCATATTGCTGCCACTTCCAGCTTTCCTCCCCTCTCTGCTCTTTCCAATTTGCCTCCCCATTCCTTTCTACATCTTCCCCATCTGCTCCCCCGCCCTCTGCCCCTTCCCCATCTGCCCTTCCGCTCTCTGCCTCTGCCCTTTTCTCCTCTGACCCTTCTCCCCTTGCCCCTTCCCCATCTGCCCCTTCCCCATCTGCCCCTTCCCCATCTGCCCCTTCCCCGTCTGCCCCTTTCCCCTCCCTCTGTCCGTTCTCCCTCTGCCCCTTTCCCCTCTGCCCCTTCCCCCTCTGCCCATTCTCCCTCTACCCCTCTACCCCTTCCCCCTCCCTTCCCCCTCTGCCCATTCTCCCTCTGCCCCTTCCCCCTCTGTCCCTTCCCCCTCTGCCCATTCTCTATTTTTTCCCCTTCCCGCTCTGGCCCTTCCGCCTCTGCCCCTTCCCCTCTGCCTCTTCCCTTGCTGCCAGCGTGTGCGCCTGGAGCAGCTCACCTCCAACCAAGAATTCCTTGCTGTTGCGCGTGAATACAACCGAACCAAGGAGGTACGGCCGTGAATACAACCGAACCAAGGAGGTACGGCCATGAATACAACCGAATCAATAGGTACGGCCATGAATACAACCGAACCAAGGAGGTACGGCCAGGAATACAACCGAACCAAGGAGGTATGGCCGTGAATACAACCGAACCAAGGAGGTATGTGGCCATGAATACAACCGAACCAAGGAGGTACGGCCGTGAATACAACCGAACCAAGGAGGTACGGCCATGAATACAACCGAACCAAGGAGGTACGGCCAGGAATACAACCGAACCAAGGAGGTACGGCCATGAATACAACCGAACCAAGGAGGTACGGCCATGAATACAACCGAACCAAGGAGGTACGGCCATGAATACAACCGAACCAATAGGTACGGCCATGAATACAACCGAACCAAGGAGGTACGGCTAGGAATACAACTGAACCAAGGAGGTACGGCCATGAATACAACTGAACCAAGGAGGTACGGCCAGGAATAGAACCAAACCAAGGAGGTACGGCCAGGAATACAACCGAACCAAGGAGGTATGGCCAGGAATACAACCGAACCAAGGAGGTACGGCCATGAATACAACCGAACCAAGGAGGTATGGCCGTGAATACAACCGAACCAAGGAGGTATGTGGCCATGAATACAACCGAACCAAGGAGGTACGGCCATGAATACAACCGAACCAAGGAGGTACGGCCATGAATACAACCGAACCAAGGAGGTACGGCCAGGAATACAACCGAACCAAGGAAGTACGGCCATGAATACAACCGAACCAAGGAGGTACGGCCATGAATACAACCGAACCAAGGATGTACGGCCATGAATACAACCGAACCAATAGGTACGGCCATGAATACAACCGAACCAAGGAGGTACGGCTAGGAATACAACTGAACCAAGGAGGTACGGCCATGAATACAACCGAAGCAAGGAGGTACGGCCAGGAATACAACCGAACCAAGGAGGTACGGCCAGGAATACAACCGAACCAAGGAGGTACGGCCAGGAATACAACCGAACCAAGGAGGTACGGCCATGAATACAACCGAACCAAGGAGGTACGGCCATGAATACAACCGAACCAAGGAGGTACGGACGTGAATACAACCGAACCAAGGAGGTACGGCTAGGAATTCAACTGAACCAAGGAGGTACGGCCATGAATACAACCGAACCAAGGAGGTACGGCCAGGAATACAACCGAACCAAGGAGGTACGGCCATGAATACAACCGAACCAAGGAGGTACGGCCGTGAATACAACCGAACCAAGGAGGTACGGCCATGAATACAACCGAACCAAGGAGGTACGGCCAGGAATACAACCGAACCAAGGAGGAACGGCCATGAATACAACCGAACCAAGGAGGTACGGCCAGGAATACAACCGAACCAAAAAGGTACGGCCAGGAATACAACCGAACCAAGGAGGTACGGCCATGAATACAACCGAACCAAGGAGGTACGGCCGTGAATACAACCGAACCAAGGAGGTACGGCTAGGAATACAACTGAACCAAGGAGGTACGGCCATGAATACAACCGAACCAAGGAGGTACGGCCAGGAATACAACCGAACCAAGGAGGTACGGCCAGGAATACAACCGAACCAAGGAGGTACGGCCAGGAATACAACCGAACCAAGGAGGTACGGCCATGAATACAACCGAACCAAGGAGGTACGGCCATGAATACAACCGAACCAAGGAGGTACGGCCAGGAATACAACCGAACCAAGGAGGTACGGCCATGAATACAACCGAACCAAGGAGGTACGGCCAGGAATACAACCGAACCAAGGAGGTACGGCCATGAATACAACCGAACCAAGGAGGTACGGCCAAGAATACAACCGAACCAAGGAGGTACGGCCATGAATACAACCGAACCAAGGAGGTACGGCCAGGAATACAACCGAACCAAGGAGGTACGGCCAGGAATACAACCGAACCAAGGAGGTACGGCCAGGAATACAACCGAACCAAGGAGGTACGGCCATGAATACAACCGAACCAAGGAGGTACGGCCATGAATACAACCGAACCAAGGAGGTACGGCCATGAATACAACCGAACCAAGGAGGTACGGCCATGAATACAACCGTGCCAAGGAGGTACGGCCAGGAATACAACCGAACCAAGGAGGTACGGCCAGGAATACAACCGAACCAAGGAGGTACGGCCAGGAATACAACCGAACCAAGGAGGTACGGCCATGAATACAACCGAACCAAGGAGGTACGGCCATGAATACAACCGAACCAAGGAGGTACGGCCATGAATACAACCGAACCAAGGAGGTACAGCCATGAATACAACCGAACCAAGGAGGTACGGCCATGAATACAACCGTGCCAAGGAGGTACGGCCAGGAATACAACCGAACCAAGGAGGTACGGCCAGGAATACAACCGAACCAAGGAGGTACGGCCAGGAATACAACCGAACCAAGGAGGTACGGCCAGGAATACAACCGAACCAAGGAGGTACGGCCATGAATACAACCGAACCAAGGAGGTACGGCCATGAATACAACCGAACCAAGGAGGTACGGCCAGGAATACAACCGAACCAAGGAGGTACGGCCATGAATACAACCGAACCAAGGAGGTACGGCCGTGAATACAACTGAACCAAGGAGGTACGGCCATGAATACAACCGAACCAAGGAGGTACGGCCAGGAATACAACCGAACCAAGGAGGTACGGCCATGAATACAACCGAACCAAGGAGGTACGGCCATGAATACAACCGAACCAAGGAGGTACGGCCATGAATACAACCGAACCAAGGAGGTACGGCCAGGAATTCAACCGAACCAAGGAGGTACGGCCAGGAATACGAACCGAACCAAGGAGGTACGGCCAGGAATACAACCGAACCAAGGAGGTACGGCCAGGAATACAACCGAACCAAGGAGGTACGGCCATGAATACAACCGAACCAAGGAGGTACGGCCGTGAATACAACCGAACCAAGGAGGTACGGCTAGGAATACAACTGAACCAAGGAGGTACGGCCATGAATACAACCGAACCAAGGAGGTACGGCCAGGAATACCACCGAACCAAGGAGGTACGGCCATGAATACAACCGAACCAAGGAGGTACGGCCAGGAATACAACCGAACCAAGGAGGTACGGCCAGGAATACAACCGAACCAAGGAGGTACGGCCAGGAATACAACCGAACCAAGGAGGTACGGCCATGAATACAACCGAACCAAGGAGGTACGGCCAGGAATACAACCGATCCAAGGAGGTACGGCCAGGAATACAACCGAACCAAGGAGGTACGGCCAGGAATACAACCGAACCAAGGAGGTAGGGCCATGAATACAACCGAACCAAGGAGGTACGGCCATGAATACAACCGAACCAAGGAGGTACGGCCAGGAATACAACCGAACCAAGGAGGTACGGCCATGAATACAACCGAACCAAGGAGGTACGGCCAGGAATACAACCGAACCAAGGAGGTACGGCCAGGAATACAACCGAACCAAGGAGGTACGGCCATGAATACAACCGAACCAAGGAGGTACGGCCGTGAATACAACCGAACCAAGGAGGTACGGCTAGGAATACAACTGAACCAAGGAGGTACGGCCATGAATACAACCGAACCAAGGAGGTACGGCCAGGAATACCACCGAACCAAGGAGGTACGGCCATGAATACAACCGAACCAAGGAGGTACGGCCAGGAATACAACCGAACCAAGGAGGTACGGCCAGGAATACAACCGAACCAAGGAGGTACGGCCAGGAATACAACCGAACCAAGGAGGTACGGCCATGAATACAACCGAACCAAGGAGGTACGGCCAGGAATACAACCGAACCAAGGAGGTACGGCCAGGAATACAACCGAACCAAGGAGGTACGGCCATGAATACAACCGAACCAAGGAGGTACGGCCATGAATACAACCGAACCAAGGAGGTACGGCCAGGAATACAACCGAACCAAGGAGGTACGGCCATGAATACAACCGAACCAAGGAGGTACGGCCAGGAATACAACCGAACCAAGGAGGTACGGCCATGAATACAACCGAACCAAGGAGGTACGGCCAAGAATACAACCGAACCAAGGAGGTAACCAAGGAGGTACGGCCAGGAATACAACCGAACCAAGGAGGTACGGCCAGGAATACAACCGAACCAAGGAGGTACGGCCAGGAATACAACCGAACCAAGGAGGTACGGCCATGAATACAACCGAACCAAGGAGGTACGGCCATGAATACAACCGAACCAAGGAGGTACGGCCATGAATACAACCGAACCAAGGAGGTACGGCCATGAATACAACCGTGCCAAGGAGGTACGGCCAGGAATACAACCGAACCAAGGAGGTACGGCCAGGAATACAACCGAACCAAGGAGGTACGGCCAGGAATACAACCGAACCAAGGAGGTACGGCCATGAATACAACCGAACCAAGGAGGTACGGCCATGAATACAACCGAACCAAGGAGGTACGGCCATGAATACAAACGAACCAAGGAGGTACGGCCATGAATACAACCGAACCAAGGAGGTACGGCCATGAATACAACCGTGCCAAGGAGGTACGGCCAGGAATACAACCGAACCAAGGAGGTACGGCCAGGAATACAACCGAACCAAGGAGGTACGGCCAGGAATACAACCGAACCAAGGAGGTACGGCCAGGAATACAACCGAACCAAGGAGGTACGGCCATGAATACAACCGAACCAAGGAGGTACGGCCATGAATACAACCGAACCAAGGAGGTACGGCCAGGAATACAACCGAACCAAGGAGGTACGGCCAGGAATACAACCGAACCAAGGAGGTACGGCCAGGATTACAACCGAACCAAGGAGGTACGGCCATGAATACAACCGAACCAAGGAGGTACGGCCATGAATACAACCGAACCAAGGAGGTACGGCCATGAATACAACCGAACCAAGGAGGTACGGCCATGAATATAACCGTGCCAAGCAGGTACGGCCAGGAATACAACCGAACCAAGGAGGTACGGCCAGGAATACAACCGAACCAAGGAGGTACGGC